GAGCGCATGAGCATGGACCTGGACCCTTGTCCCGACACGAGCACGTCGACGCCCGCGCGCGACGACACCCAGACGCGCGCGTGGAACCAGCTGCGCCCAGCGTCGACCACAACGCGAGCCCAGAGGTACCGCGGCCTGCGCAGCATTGGCGCAGCCGCTGCTAAAGCTGCCTGCTCGAGACGCTGTACATGACGCCCGCGCTCCGCACGCGGCTGTACCAGTCGACATCCGCATTCAACGACAGCAGCCCCTGCAGGAACTCCAGCTCCTCTTTGCACGGCTCCAGCTTCGAGTCGCATGCAAGACCATCGACACGCCCGCTCTGGCGCAGAGCTTTGGCTGGACGACAAATGACGTTCTGCAGCAGCACGACGCGCACGAGCCCTACCACGTCCTCTTGGATGTACTCGACGCTTCTCTCCAAGGCACACCCGACTTGCACTTTATCGATGACCTCTACCAAGGTCGAAACCTTTACCTCTCTTTTGCACGACGCTCATGCACGATGACCAGGTACGCTCGAAGACTGTGTGCAATGCGCTACATGCGGCTACAAGCGCAGCCTCCTCGACACCTTTCTCGGCCTTTCACTCGGAGTCGCATCGACGCCGACAAGCGTCGAAGAGGCCATCACGAGCTTCCTCGCACCCGAGCGCATTGTCGGCAACCATCAATGGCTCTGCGACGTCTGCGGCACCACCCGAGACGCCTTCAAGCGCCTGTCGCTCGTGCAACTCCCGCCTCTTCTTACGCTTCAGCTCAAGCGCTTTGCGTGGGACCACGGCAATCAAAGTGTCCCAAGTACCTCGACATGAACGCGCCTTATCCCACGACGTCCAACAGTCGCGAGACGTCGCCTTCTACTAAGAGCACACAAGAAGCAGCAACACAAGATAGAGTCTCAAACGTCGCAACGCTTGCTGACGTGACGACGCAGACCGTCCGCTACTTTCGATCGACGGATGGGACGCCCGAGCTCTTTACTGAGCCGCCCGAGCATGCGTATTCTCAACCAGCGCCAGACGTCAGCCGTGGACGTGACCGAGATGGCACGTCTCTCGCGACCAAGGCCCTCGCTGGAACCATGTCTTGTCGCTGGTGTCGTTTGGCGAAAGACTCGAGGTGTCGGATGTCCGCGAGCTAACCAAGGTGCTCTCGACAAACGAGCAGCTCGATCTCCAACGTCGCATTGACGCAGCAATCAACAGCAAGACGAGAGCATGGCGGACGTCGCGTGGTCGACCAACACCGTCGACATCTCCTCGATCGAGTGGCGCATTCCTACAATTGAGACCCCGGCACTCGTCCTTCGTTGCTCGACGTTGACGTCAAAAATGAAGCGAATGCAACAGAAAGCTATAAGAATCGCTTTTCTGTGTTGGCGACAATAGCATGCACACCGTTCCGCGGCTATGCCGAGTACTGGCACCTCTCGCCTACCCCACGCGCCATGACGCAACGAGCTTGGTCATATCGGTTGAGCGCATACTCAAGCTCAGACAACGAGCTCTGACAAAGTTGAATCGGCCAAGAATTTTGATGCATTAACATTAACAACATTAAGCTTGGTACCCTTGTCTCTAACAGTATTGAAGCCGAATGAGACAGACCGCATGTTTCAAATAGTGTACATATCCCGCCACCAACGCCACAATCGTTGACACGCAGACGCACCAGTGCCACGCAGCAGCGGTGTCGCCCTCTCCACACACTCCATCGATGATATGCATGTCGTTTCCGCCGCTGAACGCGGTGCAATCATGCGGATATCCATGTTTGATTTTAGAGGCAGCGAGCAATATGTCCAAATACTCTACATGATATCGCGAAGCTAGAGAGCTCCAAGGACCCCAATTCTGGCTGCCACAGTTGGAAATTAATCTCGACCCGGTCTGCGACACGTTTGTTGGGAGCCGTCGTTGCTCGCACCAAACTCGTACTAAGGTACTATCAAACGTTTTCACGAAATTCGACATGCAATTTTGGGTAAAAATGCGTCGACATTGCGGAGGCCGAGGACGCCATATCTTTTATTCGTGCTAGAGAGCGTGTTGCATGTGGCCGAGGGGGTAGAGTGCGCGGGATGTGGCCCTGTTTGCGCCCATACAGTATTTCGGTGCTGACGTCAAAACTGTTGAACAGGAGATCGTCCATTGCTCATGTTATAGAGCTCCAACGGCAACGCTACATAGCGTTTCATACTCTCCAAAAAGTCATCTAGCATTGTGGCGAGTATGAGCGATTTCATTTCTAAACATTGTTTGGTCGATCTCTCGAGGCGGCGACGATCCACCAACCCAAAATGTGGCCTTTTATGCGATCTATGGCGAAGGCCACGAATAACATTAAACAAAGTGCCACGTGGCAAGCTGCTTTGCCGACGACACACAATTGATCGCACGGGACGAACCCGCGCTCCACACGCAGCTCGCCCTGGTCGAACGGTTTTGTGCAGTGTCCGGCTTCCGCCTGAACCGTCACAAAACTGAGCTCCTCACGTACGGACCGGTTTCGGACGCGCTCTCGCCGCTTGTGGTCCAGCCCGCGCAACCAACCAAGGCTCTCGGGATCTTGGTCGCGCCTCATCTTGGCCCACACGCTCGCTTCGACTACGCCCTCGACAAGTTTGCGGATCGGCTTCGGCTCTGGTCGTACAAGTCGAACACGCTCGTGGGCAAGGTGGTCATTCTCCGCACCCTCTGCCTGCCGCTTCTCTGGTACCAGCTGGCATGGGTGACGCCCTCGGCCACGGCCGCTGCGTGCATCGACCGCATGATGCTTCAATTCCTGCGCAACGAGCCGATCGCGCGCCGGAGTGAGCACAGAGTACGTCACTTCCGCGCGGACCTCGCCTTCTCGCCTCGTCGTCTTGGTGGCCTGGGTCTCGTACGCGCACTGCCCTTGTGGACCGCGCGACACCGGGCCGGGATGCTGCGCGCCGCGCAAGCAGTGCAACAGCTCCCTGAAGATCGCCCG